ACTTCTGAAAAAGCACATAGCTTAGGCTAACAAGTAACAAACGGAACCAATGCTTATTGAGACAATCATGAACATTATGGAAAGGAAAAACATGAAATCTATTCTTTAAATGTTTGGAGAGTGAATCTCTAACACATTTTTGACTATGGCTACACATAACATAATGAAAGATTCAATGTAAACAGAATTGCCAACTAATAAGAAGTACAAAAGAGTGGTATTGAACAACCATTTTTCGCTGAATGTGCAAGAAAGAGTCAAGTCCAGCCACATGTATGTGTGCACCTAGTCCACCACGATCTGAGTTCTGAGCGTTTGATGCCTTGCTGCTCTTGTCTTTCGCCTCATCAGTCTCCCAATATTCGTCCATTTATTCCCACAAGGTATTATTGATCCATCTAGGTCTCTTTTTGCTGGTCTTTACGTAGTTTACCGTCCCTCTTAGCCGTCTTGTAGCAATAACATTAAACTCTTTCCGCACTAAATGTGTGATCATAGGATTCCACGTAAATTGGTGCTACAAACATGTGAAACTATATCAAATCAGACAAACAAATTGTATAAATGCATTGCGATGTCTAAAGAAGATGGAATCAAACACCAAACAAACTTGTTAGTGATTGATAGTCAATCCAAACAACTATTGAGTGTAAACACAACATGCGCATGAAAAAAGATATAATCTAAGAAGAATTATCCAAAATCTGAATATCAAACGTAACAAGCTTAAAGCTAAGACCGAAACAAACAAAAACAAAATAAAAGATAGCATGTTTCGAAGAAAAGTTGCAATTTAATAAAACAAACATCATTTGAGAACTAATTTTTTTATTTAAGCATCAAATAATCTGCCTCTGATAAACACAAACCAACGAGACTGATACTTAATGAGAGCCAAATATGACAAAAAGTCAAAGAACACACAACCCTGGGCATGAAACAACAGCAAAATCGAATCTAAAACAAACCAAGTTAGACCTAGTTAATCACAGACAGCCATTCACAATTCTGAGTAAGAAACATCATAATCATTCATTTCGTACAAGCCTGCCATCCAAAGAGAAAAATTCAGTAAGCAACCAATTTATGCAAGTCAAACTAAGCAAACTATGTCCTGTCAAAGAACAAAGGTATGAAATGTACCGCTAATGTTACGAAATAACGATCTTGTACATCTGTAGGCGTGACCGACCAGCTATAGTTAGGTTCATCAACTTTGTCTTGCAAAATCTTTCCTATCTCTTTAACTAAAAACTTCTCATCACGATCAAACCTACAAAGATGGTCTGTGCTTTATAAATTTGCACAAATCTAAGTTAACTTTAGGAATTGTTAAGACACACTACGAATTACCAAAGTCCTTCTCCGATGTTCGAAGATAAGGTCGTCAAAAAATCATTACGGCCATGCATAGTAAGGCTTCCAACGGGATTCGATCTGCTTGCTCATTATGTGGTAGCTGATTGTGATTGAGAAGCTGATGCGGCGGTGGAGGAGATTGAGACTGGACATGCAGTGGTGGAGGAGGTTGAGACGGGACATGTAGCGGTGCAGTAGGTTGGGACCGAGGAACTTGAGTTTTGGGTATCGTGTGCTGTGTGCTCCTCCGCCACGACCTCGCTTTGAAGTTCCGCTTTGTGCCATTGAGAGTAATTAGGGGGTTTTAGACTACAAATTGATAGAGATTATGTTAGAATTATGCGGAAATATATATTTAGAATGAGAGATTAAGAAGAGAGAATAGCATTGGAGAATTGGAGAATGAGAAGAATTAGAATTGAATGTATGTTGTTTTCATTTATTTGGTTTACAATCTATATATAGAAGAACAAAATGACATGCTTTTCTAACTCATGCTCTTTTGTCTCTTTAACCCATACTTTGGTGTCTTCTTCTTTAACCCATACTTTGATTTAACCCATTTTTTGATTCTTTAACCCATACTTTGATGTCTCATACCCATACTTTGATGTCTCCTCTTGTCTTCTTTCATTTTGTCAATA